GTGTTCGAATGGACCAAGTGAGGCGGAGACTACATCATGCTTCACCCTTAACCCACCAGCGACAGCCTTAAAGGTCGAAGCCTATACGAAATAGAACATTGGTTACGTACTGTAACCCCAGATTCTACGAGTATAGGCATAGCCCTTTAAGCATTGGGCCTCACTGGCTCCTAAATGGCTGGAGAAAAAGCTATTTGGGAGCCGATTACCCACTCTTAACGTAATTTATACGGACCGGGTGGGGCCCACACAACAGATGGGCGTGGACTAAATTTTTTCAGTGCGATGCTTTGCATGACGGGATAAACCCACCAGCGACAGCTCGTAAAGGGCTACACCTATACTCATAGAATCTGGGGTTACAGTACGTAACCAACATTTTAACTTGTCATTACCAATCTAAATGGAGCAAAAAGAAAAAAAGAAACTTATCGTCAGGTGAAAGTAATGTGTACACATGTGTGATTTGTCTGCAGTACTAACGTGGAGTGGCTCTCCTCTGCTCTGACTGCTCATGGGATTGCTGCACAAAACTACCGTCTTTCAGAGCTTACGGAAGCACTCACTGTGTACTGAGGACAGTGCTGAATGATTAGTGCCTTCACCTGTAGCCTCTAGAAGTCTCCAAAAATCTCCAGACACACCGCAAAAAGTAGCTAGATTTGTCGCTGGTCGCTTAAAAATAGTCACTAGAGTGGTCTGAAAACTCACTAAATATAGCGACAAAGTTGATAAGATGGCTACATATGCCCCTTTTCCACTGTCGCAGATCAGATCAGTTCGGGTTGGTTCAGATCGGTTCGGGTCTGTTGTGTTTCCATGTACATTTCTGGACCGGCTCTGTAGGCGGGGACTAGAATCCAACTCGTCTTACCACCTGGTGGCGGTAGTGCTCCCTTAAGCTACTTACTAGCCACCACTAAACATATTAGAAGAAGAACACCCTGAAGGTTTTGTCACAGGATGTTGTGGAAGAGATGTCATGCTCTAATGGAGTACCTCATGAGCTGTAACTTATAAACCTGATTCATAATCCTACCTTACTGCCTTCCCTGCTGCTTTAAACCCATGTGTTTTTCATTTTAGTATAGATTTTTACAATAAAGATGTATTAAAAATATCTTCCCTTTTATTATTTGCAGATATGCACAAGGTTCATGTTAAAATTGCAAAACATCACACTGTGCTGTAATCTTTGAAACTGCTTTTACAATAAGATACAGACTTGAAAACAATTAGATTAAATTTTGTCCTTGAATTTTAAAGATTTGTCTTTCATTAAATTAAAACATAAATTTATTACTTATTAATCTAAAAAAGTCTGGTCCTCTGGACATTCAAAAAACAAAACTAACAAAAAACATTTAGTTTATTTATTATAAACTGTATTGTTTGTTTTGTGAATGTCCAGAGGACCAGACTTAACTTTTTAGATTTTTCTACCTGGATTATTGAGCAGCATCAGGATATTAATTAATAAATAGTCAGTTGGTCTGTGAACACCATGGGGTCCTAGAAGAGTTGAAGAGGTGGATGTTCATGTCTGTGCCTCCCTGGTGAAGATGCTGCTCCCACAACCCTGAAGCAGAAGAGGATGGATGGACGGATGGATGGATGGATGGATGGATGGATGGATGGACGGGTGGCGAAGGAGGAGACCATCAAACAGCAGGAGTGGTCAGTTCAGGTGAACTCCTGCCTGTTTGCTTCAGATCAGCTGTTCAAATCTCTGCAGGTTCAAATAAAAGGTGCACCAGGACTTTCAGCTGAATCTCTCGGGCCACAGTTGTACGGACGATAACTGATAACTGATAACTGTCCTTTCTGAATTTTTGACTGTTTTTGTGTCACTTCATCCTAGAACCAAAAAATTATAACATAATAACAGTTGAGCAGATTCTAGTAATCTTTTCTTAGGATTCATTAAAGATCAAATGCAATTGGAAATTCTTCTCAACTTCCAGTATGAATTTAAACAAACACTATATGAACTTAACATTGTAAAATTTGTTTAGGAAATTTAATGTTCAAGGACACCACTTAAGAAAAAAATTGTTTAATAGTAAAAGTAAGAAGTGAAAAATGTACAAAAATAAAAACTACAGCGTCCAACTAATGATTGTGTATCTGTGTGTCCCTTGTCTCACGGGCTTCATCCAGAAGAAGACACAAGTGTTGTTCCTGCTGTGTCCGCTTCAGTTCTTCATGTTCATTCAGTGATGAAATAAGACTTTTCTTTACTGGACTCTTTTCTCTTTCTCTTCACCAGAAAGAAGAAACAGGTGGTTAATTCAAGCTGCATACTGTTTTTGAATAAATGCATGAAACAAAGAAAGGTGCTGCTAACAGCTATAATAGATATATTAATAATAATAAACTGATCAAATAAGAAAATGAAAAATAAATTGATTTAAAAATAATGAAAATGATAATAATGGATATATTAATCAGAAAGTATTATACAGATGCAGATATTCTTTGTCATTCGCACCACATGTGGTCCATGTGGTGGATAAAAATTATGTTCACAGGGTCCCAGTTACATCCAACAATAAAATATAAAAGAAAAACAGTAATAAGATCTAAGATATGAACTAAGAAAAACATCAACTAAAAATATGATAAGCTCTAATAGCATAAAAACATTAAACACAATACGCAGAACAGCAGCACGGACATGAGTCTGTGTGAACAGACGAGCACGAATGAACACAGCAACATGAAACAGATCAGCAGCAACATGAAACTGATCAGCAGCAACATGAAACAGATCAGCAGCAACATGATGTGATTCTTCACAGTGTTATATATTCATGAGGCTGCACAAACTCAAGTTCATGTTGCTGTTTGACGTATTGTTTTGATTGTTTACTGCTACTAGTGCTTAGTGTTTTATTAGTAGATGTTTTTTAGTTGATATTTTTCTTAATTCATATCTTAGATCTTATTACTGTTTTTATTTTACATTTTGTTGTCTGTAACTGGGACCCTGTGTACATAATTTCATCCCAATTCAGTATTTATTCAACATTTTAGTTTTTTACTTTAAAAATAAAATAAATCAAGTCCTTATCGGCACAAATAAAGTGATGTGGAACATGTTGCATCTTACCGAGCACAGAAGCTGCAGCGTTGTGCTGCTCTGTGAGGTGCAGCTGGGCTGTGATGGAGCTCTGTCAGGTGTAG